TGATCGGGATTCAAGAAGCTCTTAGCTGGCTGCAAGAGACAGGGAGGGACAATGTTGATGTGGGCCTGATGTACTCGGGCTATCTCAGATATCTTGAGGGGTTTTAGCTGCTCTGCTTTTGGTCTCGTAGCTAACGGTATTAGAGAATTGGCCAAATTTTTTCTAGCATCTCTTTTTCTCATATTAGGCGATCAATGAACAAGACAACACACACTCTGGCTAGAGCTGCTTGTTCTTTGTCTGACTTTCATGTTTGGTTTTTTTTATTTGATTAATGATAGTTAATTTTTATGTTTGCAAAAATAAGTAATGATGTATCATTGGGCGTTCCAACAAAAGCATGGTACATTACCACATCTCGCCGTAGGATGCACTTTGCCTTGATCGGTATATGATACTTCTTCATATATTCCAAAGTTCACTACAAACAATTTATGGGATTAGGAGGGATTTGGCACGGATTTACCGATTTTCGTGCCAAAGTACGTGTTTTTGGCATGGATTTGGCGTATCCCTGCCAAAATTTCTGCCAAATCCCTACCAAAATCCCTGTCAATCTCGTTTTTTTTTGTAGTGGTTAAAGCGTAGTCCAAGAAGTGAAAACCTCAAATTTTAGATATTCACCCCGAATGTGCTACAACCCAATGAAAATATTATATAGAAGGGTGTTGTAGCTCGTTCATAACACCCAAGGTTGAATAGAAAGCACCCACTTTATATAGAAAAAATGGACATTGTTTTACACTTTTTGGAAACACCTACTCAAATATCAGTAATGCTTGGTGTACACTTTGAGTTACACCCTATTTATTTAACCATCACATAGACAAAAAGTATAAATACACACATTTATTGATAAAATTTATCTATGCGAACAAAATTTGTCTTTGTGAATAACACTTGTCTATAAACATGTCTGCTCACAGACAAAAATATATGTGCACAAAAACTTGGGTGTGTGTATACAGACAACTAGTGTGTGTGCATAGACATTGATTTACGTGCAAATAACATCAATTGGTGTGCTTTTTTGCACTAAATTCAAATTTGGTTGCATTAAACTCAAAATATGTATATAGCCACTAGGTGTCTGTATACACACAAAGTGTCTATGCATATTTTATCTGTGCACAGACATGTTTACAGACGAATTTCGTTGGCACAAACAAATTTTATTCACACAGACAAATCTTGTCAAAAAATGTTTGTATATGTACTTTTTTGTCTCTATGAAGAGTAAATGAATAGGGTGTAACCCAGAGTGAACCCATGGTGTACAAATATAATTTTCGCTCAAATGTTGCCCTGTTTTGTCATTATCCCAAAGGGGATAGAGCTACCTCAAATGGCAGTTAAGCAGGTCATAGGAGAAATAAAAATGTCTTTTTTTAAAGTGTTATAATATTTTTATTTGTGCTTCATATTTAAAAAATGTTGGGTGTGTTTCAGAAAATAAGAAAAAATTAATTAATTAAAATTAGTTAAATTAATTAAATGACTAAAGAAAAACAAGAAATGAGATGAAGCAGAAAATAGCCAGAGCTCGTGCTACACACGATGTGCTTAAAACGTATTTGTTGCCTCCCACGGTGCTAGGAGCGTTGCAACGACTGGATACGGTTGCTAACAAACGATCGTTTGAGCACACAAACGAAAGTTCCGGCGAAACACAAGTGGGAACACTAAAGAATTTTCGGAGTGCTAGAGGTGTTTTAGAGCTCAAAAGTACGTGATTTCGTTCTGTGAATGTGTATTGTTGCAAACCACCTGCTAGCCAATTTATAGGAGGATTTATTGTGTGTTAAGTGACCTTTAATGGACCTGAACGTTGGACATAAATGACTAGCACGTTGGGCATTACTATGTCGATGGATGGGTTGCACTGATGTGTGGCCTTGGAGACTTCCTCCAAAAATTAAAACCCTTTTCTTGCAGGTTTGTAGTGGTTGTCTTCCAATGAAAGAGAATCTGCACGATCGTCGACTTGATTGCTCTGAAGTGTGCAGATTATGTGGGGGGCTAGTGAGACGTTGCTCCATATTTTTGTGGACTGTGCAGTAACAAAGCAGGCCTGGGCGCGGTTATTTGGGTTTGCTCTAGTCATCGTGCTACCCATTTTCTGGGACAAGTGCATCAGAAGTTTCATTCGCGACGGAAGGACGAACTTGTGAAGATGGTTTGGGGGTGTTGGGCTATTTGGTACAAGAGGAATCAACGGAGCTGGCAGCATGTGTCCCTGGAGGTGAAGCAGTTTATGTTCGAAGCAAAGAGTTTGGTGACAAGCTAGTCTTAAGCTCAACTTGTTCGAGGCGAAAGGAGGCTAGTCGGGCAGCAGTCAGCCATTTCTTGGTGTCGATCGGCTCTAAAGAGGTTGAAGTTGAATGCGGATGCTGCTGTTAGGGTGGAGGACTGTGGTCTCGGATGGTGTTTATAAGACGCGGAAGGCGGATTTATAACAGGTAGGAGACAAGGAAATTATCCCCTTTAGAAGCTGAACTGGTCGGTATTCAAGAAGCTCTTGGCTGGCTGGAGGAGACATGGAGGGACAATGCTGATGTGGAGTCTGATGCATCCCGGGCTATCTCAGAAATCTTGAGGGGTTTTAGCTGCTCTGCTTTTGATTTGGTAACTAACGATGTTAGAGAATTCGCAAAAAAAAACTAGCATCTCTTTTTTTATCATATTAGGCGATCAGTGAACAAGACATGCAACACACGTTTTGGCTAGAGCTGCTTGTTCTTTGTCTGGCTTGCATGTTTGGTTTTTTCTTACTCCGACTATAATTTTATCATCTATTTGATTAATGATAGTTATTTTTTGTTTGCAAGAATAGTTAATAATGCATCATTGGGCGTGGTAACAAAAGCATGGTACACTACTACATCTCATCGTAGGATGTACTTTGCCTTAATCGGTATATGATATTTCTTCATATATTCCCATGTTAAAACGTAGTCCAAGAAGTGAAAACCCCAAATTCCATATATTCACCCCGAATGTGCTACAACCCAATGAAAGTATTATATAGAAAGGTGTTTTAGCTGGTTCATGGCACCCAAGGTTGGATAGAAAGCACCCACTTTATATAGAAAAATGGACATTGTTTCACACTTTTTGGAAAACACTTGCTCAAATATCAATTGTGTTTGGTGTACACTTTGAGTTACACCCTGTTTATTTAACTATCATATAGACAAAAAAGTATAAATGCACACATTTATCCATAAAATTTATCTGTGTGAACGAAATTTGTTTGTGTGAATAAAACTTGTCTGTAAACATGTCTGTCTAAGATAAAGATATATGTTCACAAAAACTTTTGTTGTGTGCATACGGCCAACTAGTATATGTGCATATACATTGATTTACGTGCAAATCACATTAATTGATGTACTTTTTTGCATAAAGTTCAGATTAGGTTGTATGGAAATCAATGTATGTATATAGCCACTAGGTGTCTGTATACACACAAAGTGTCTATGCACATTTTTGTCTGTGCACAGACATGTTTACAAACAAATTTTGTTGGCACAAACAAATTTTGTCAAAAATGTTTGTATTTGTACTTTTTTTGTCTATGTGGAGAGTAAATAAATAGGGTGTAACTCAGAGTGAACCCATGGTGTACAAATAGAATTTTCGCTCAAATATTACCATGTTTTGTCATTCTCTCAACGGGGAGAGAGCTATCTCAAATGGCAGTTCAGCGGGACCTAGGAGAAATAAAAATGTATTTTTTAAAGTGTTATAACTTTTTATTTGTGCTTCATTTTTTACTAAAAACGTATGAAGTCATAACTTTTTATAATATTTCATTTAACACCAATATTGCATATACATAGTTTAAAGAAATACTACTACGTATGAAGTTCCAGCAGTTGGATATTTTCAAACCCAAAGTTTGTTTTTTTAATAAATCCAAATGCTAAATTAAAATCTAATGATTAAATATTTTGTTTTGAATACAAATTTTAGATATTTTTTCTTAAAGTAACACAAAAAATGAACTCCAAATTTATTTATTGTTAAATCAGAATGTTTGACACTTTAAATTATAATTATTCACAAAAAATGGGCAAAAATGATGTATACTATTAAAACTAAGACTTTAATAAAAAATTACTGGATGAATATATTGACGGTGCTGAATTGGAGAAAAAAGTGAATTTACCGAGTAAACACATAAAATGATTGAGAATTAGATTTATTGACGGAAATGGTTGGGGTTGCCTTATAGAAACAATTTTAAACACTTCATCCCCGTTTGTCCCCAACTTAAATCCTGGTGCAACATGCTCCATCCGTATTATCATAAATGGCACAATATGCTTCTTACACGGTTTAAAATAGATTTGTTGTGCATGTTTACAAAAAGTATAAGATTTTTAGTACTATAGAAGTATTGTACGATAGTATATTTTATTCAAGTGAATTGTAACTACCTTTCAGTGTTTTTCTTTTAATTTTACTAGCACTTTTGAAAATTGGAGTTACTTTTAACTGTCTTTTTCAGACGTTTTTAACGGCGTGACCCTCTTGTGATTAGGCATGGACTCGGGCCGGGTGGCCCGACCCGGAACCGGCCCGGCCCGACACTATTTGGAACCAGCCCGATCTGGTGGCCCGGCCAGGGACGATCTGGGTGGGTACAACCCGAGGTCTTTACGGTGCAGGCTCGGGTCACCAAAAAGACGAACCGGCCCGGTTCCGGGTTTTTTTTTTTCAATTTTATTTTGTTTATTCTGGGTTGGGGCTGGGTGTTTAGGGGTGTTTTGGGGGGATGGGGGGGGGTTGGGGGTTAAGTAGAAAAGCCAAAAAAAAACTAAGTAGCCCGAGGCCCGGCCTGGCCCGTACCTGGTGGCAACCCGAGCCGGTTCCGGGCCTTCCCCCATTCCTCAAAAACCCGTCCGGGCCCGACCCGGGTCCATGCATACTTGTGATAACGGAATTCAAACACAAGAACCACTTTGATAAAGAATGAAACACATGACCCTATCTAAAAACGGACCCAACCACAAGTACCTTTTCTGTACTTTTCCAAAAAAAAATTGAATGACATAGTTCCAGACTTCCAGTACAAATGTACAACGGAGAAATACTCCGTATATTCTTACATGTTACAGCATAAAATATGCTCTGTGGCTAATGTAGAAAACTTGAAAGATCTACATGTATTTAGCCATGTTTTCAGCAAGACATACAGTCGATTAAAATAGTAGGGAGTATTAAATAATGGTAATAAGTAAAATCTGTTTTATTTATTCCAGTTCAAATTAACCACTCCTACTCATTTGCAGAGTGATTATTAATAGAAGATTGAGCAGCCAACTGCAAAAAACACTGGCAAACATCCTCCATCACTTTTATCACGGAAAGCTGGGTGTCAAGATCTCTGTACCTTTTATGATACGTATCATCCAACATTTTCACTACTGCATCTAAGCTAGGCATCTGGAAGTTGGGTATTCCAAAGGCAGTGTTGCAGTTCAGGCTCGCTTTTACATCTGCACAAGTCAGTGAAGCTATCTCTAAGCTGCAAGATTTGTCTGTCGCATTTGAAGTTCCACCTTTATTTGCTGATGACCCTGCATCAGTTTCTCCCCAAAAAAATTATTAAAAGAGCATTAAAAATAAGAGCAAGGTCATTATATGCAGAAAATGCCTTTTAGGATGTAAGCATCCCCCTGGTGGTTTTATATAGACTATCAACAGAATAATGAGAAGGGAGAATTGTCAAATATGCCCTTCTACTGTACGATAAAAAGTAATTAGACCCTTGTACTAGGAAAACACCCAATCAAACCCTTGAAGTTGTAAAAAAAAACAAATAGACTGTTTGACCGGTCATCATGCAGTTTACCGGTTATCTTCTTATGTGGTTGACATGTTTAATGGTATTTCATACTTACTTATTCGATTTTCTTTATAGATATAGTCTACTACCAGCCATCCAGCACCTCATAAGTGTTAAGTATCTTCTTTGGCAATTCTTTTGATGGCCAGCAACTTTACCACTGCAACCTCCACCTCCAAAAAATATCTTACTGTCCTATTTCTTACTTTGTTTCTCTGCTTTTCCAAAGTTCATTCACGCACTACTCTTGTTTGCCAATCTATTCTTTGTTTTACTCTTCCATTTTTGTTACCTTTTTGTTCTTTCTGTTGTTAATCTCCCTCTTGTCTGTTCTTATTTCTTTTTTTAACGTGTTCTTATTTCTTCTTCTACGAACAAAAAAACTGATTTATTATTAGATCTGGCAGCCACATGTATTGAGATTCCCCCAATTAGGTTAAAATATCAACTTAAATGATCACTTCTTTTAAAATTTATTGTTTATTAGTAGGATAAAACTAATAGCAAAAACAATCAGATCAAATTCGAAATACATATGGACATTGTTTCCTAGGCTATCTAGATCAAAAGTTCAACTATCAACTTAAGATATGCCATCAACTTATTAGGATTAGTAGGTTATATTTAATTAATAACAAAAATCAATTACACGAAATTTTGAATATATAGTGTTTACTTGGTTGCCTGAAACATACGATAGTATATTGAAGATTTTTTTTAACAGTTCAGGCTCAGATCGAGATCTTATTAAAGTCCTCCAAAACAATTGGCCAAATAATTGACACATAAAAAGTCAAACTTGTCACCGATTGAAGAAAATCATCGAGTAACTCGGCGAGTCAAACTTGTCACCAAACTTGTCACCGATTGAAGAAAATTGTACTCGGCAAGTAATTCGGGAAAAAAGAAAGGGGCCACGTCAGAGTGCTAATCAGGACGGTCCTTGTCAACCCTGAGTTGCGAGTACTCGGCGAGTAGATAACACAAGTCTTGAAGTAGAAATTTGTAAAGGGGAAGAAATTGCCAAGCAAACGGTCTTTGTGTGTGTGGTTGGACTTAGCCAAGAAAATACGGACAATCATGTTTGAGTAAAAAAAATACAGTCTTACATATCATAGTGCTCCCCCCTACATTTTCTTTCCTTTCAAATTCCCCCCTCATTTTCCTAACTATATTATTTCCTTATCATTTCTTGAGTTCTAAACAGACCCAAAGACTGACAATAGGACACTTAGTTCAGCAAAGTGATGTAGCATATACCTGGCTCATTATAAGGCTTGACCAGTAAATGACCACCAACGCTCTTATTGGGTGACTGTGGATTGGCTGAAAGACGCTGTTTCCCCTTGCTTTTAAGATCCATTTGTCCATCACATGGCTGAGGTGGTCCCTGAAGAAGTGCATCCCCACCATCATCGTGCCTTGTCCGTGAAGTCCCGCCAAGGCTAGATGGTGATGGTTGACCATCTTGCTGCCTCAAACGAAATCTTTTTAATGGTCTCTCGGGCTCTTCATTCAAAACCTCGTCTTCCTCCAAAGCACATTCCTGCTAAAAAATGTGCACAGGAGAAAAACAAGGGTGAGCAACCAATCAGTACATATTACAGAACAATTAGTGCCTTTGTAAGTTTTTTTACTGCAATGGCTGAACGGCTGAACCAGTTGAATTTTTTAAACTAAAACCTCTAGGTAAAAACCCGATCTCAACCATATATAAGTAATTTGTAGGCTACTATACTTAGAGCCTGTTAGGTGATCCTAAAATGTCTGAACTCTGAAGAGGCTGAATTTGGTTAAGTTGTGGTTGAACTTGCTTAATCTGCTCAGTGATCTAAAGAATCATTTAAAATGAATGTAGAAATGTCACTTTCTTTAATTTCACCCAAAACACTTACTTTTGTACTACTTTTTTCATTATGAGCAAAATTAATTTTGAATCTCATTGATAAGGGTGATAGGCTGAAAGGAAAAAATTCACCAAGAGGGGTTCTATTCTGATTATGCTAAATCTTCATAAAAGCAAGATAAGACAACTGATGTTACCAGATACCAAACAAGGTCCTAGTAAGTTTAATTATGCATCGATGATTCAATGATAGCATCTACGAAGGACAATGGCTAGACAATAAAGGAGGTCCTTACTGCAGCACAGATAGAAGATTTTGCGCGTCTTGCTTCCTATAAGAATGATGTAAACAATAGAACGTTTATGGATATTAATTAAGACAGTGAATAAAAAGTCGATTATTGAAAAAAAGAAAAAAGAAACTAGACTCACCTCAGCTTCCTCATACTCAAAAATTGCATCCAAAAGGGATCTATAATTCTCCTCCTCAATGAGATCCCAGTTTTTATTATACAACTTTAAAAGACGCTTCAATACAGGCTTCACCTTTTCTTCAGATATCCCGAGAACCTTTGTAGCACGGAAGGCATTTGCAATCCTTTTCCTAGAATCAGGACCCATTCCTAACTATAGCAGACTCACAGAAGAATCGGCTTGTCAGCCCACCTAATTCTTTCTGCAACCAAAAGCAAAAAAAAAAAAAAACTTATATATACACATGAATCGATGCATTAAAATTTATTTTCAAGGACACATCTAGCTCTATACAAAACCAAGTGTCCAAGTGGAAAACCAAGTGGTTTTCCCGCCTAAAGTTCAGGGTATTAAACGGGGCGGATTTAGCTGATACGGGTTGTCAGAAGGATCTGAGCAGAGTACAACTCATTTAATGCTCTATTAACGGGTCAAATTTAGCAGGTCAAAAAAGGGTCAGGTCAATTAAACCAATTTTGCAGAGTGCGACTGTTAGGGTGGTACACGTGAAAATTTTAATTCCTCGTTAAATGGCTGCACCAACATAGTACAAATACAGATCTTTTGTGTCTAATTTTCCCTTTCAGATTAAATGCAAAGCAGATTTTTGAATATGACTTTTTGTTCAGTTCACACGTGTTTACGTAATTGCTTTTCTTTTATAGTGTCAAGTACAGAACTATTAAATCTACTATAAACAGGGCTGAAAATCGCTCCATGGAGTTTCAAACCCAAGACCTCCCAAGACCTCCCGTATGGAAGAGTGGGTCGGCGACAGCTGGACAGCTTCCTCAAAAAGATACTATAGAGATCTTTCATGTTTGATTCGACCCAGTTTCAATTTATTGCATTGACGGGAGTAGAAAGATACTGTAAATATATATTAATTAAATTAAATTTATTCATAAAATATTAGTGTCCAATCACTCATTCATATGGTATACTACTATTCCTTGGATACATGAGGCATGCCATAAGGAAACCCGAGCCAAATCTACTATAAATAAGGAGCATTTAGCAACACAAGACCACAGCAATTGATCAACACAACATTGCCGAAAAAAAGTGGCATGTAGACTCTCAAATGTAAACTACACCAAGTCTACAATTGTCTTCCCAAATCAAGTTAAGAGGTATGAAAAACATCTGATGCATACAAACCTTTTTTTAAATAAAAAAACTTGCAATCTTTCTATGAAAAATGTGTTTAAGAAGCCATTTCTCTTAATGTATTCAGGATTTAAATAAAAAACAGAGTAAAGATATTCTTTATAAGCTACTCATATCATTTGATGCTTGAGGTATTGTTAGACACTTCAATGCTCAAACTAGAGGTCTTCTAATTTTAACCGCCACTCAAAAATAATGTGGCCTGGTGGTGTGTGGGCTGTCTAACCGTTAGAGAGATCTAATGATCTGTTTAGGCTGCCTGTGTTTTTCTATCCGCCTACTGGTTCTTGATTTGAATGGCAAGTTTGGCATAAGCCCACAATAATTAACCAGTCTCTCGCCTGTTACTGTTTTTATATAAGATGAGCTCACTACCAGGAAATGGAACAGACTCTCTGAAGAACTTTGGGTGGTCACCGCTTCTCCACAATTTGAATCAAGTTCTCAATTAGCTGTGTTTAAACAATATAATAGTTAGAAGAAAGAGCTGGCAAGTAAAACCAAACATGTGGTAGTCAATAGAAAACAGAGCATTGGATCACATTCAAGAAAGACTGAGCGTAGCAAGTAGGGGCCTGTTTCGAAAGAAGCAAAAATGGTTGAGTTCACTTAGTTTTTTCTAAAGCATACATGTTAAGTAACATCCCTTTAAATGAAACAAGTGAAGTAAAAAAAATACTTACGTAGTATTTTACTGCTCTGTTGATAAGGAAAATAAGCCAGACAAAGCCCAGGCCTCCACAAATAATTTTGGGTTTTGTACTCATCCCACGAGGCTTAATCATAGTAATCCAATTCCAAGTAAATAATCCAAGTAATTTTGAATTACAATTGGATGGAGATAACTAATTAATCCAACAGGCCATAGAGCACATTGGCTCTATCACAGAATCTAACCACCCATTAACACCTGCTTCTCGATTGACTTAGTTGTTGGATGGTAATATACAACTATATGATCTTTCTATCCAACAGGCTACACAGCTCATGTGAAAATGGAAAAGTACACTCCTATATAACGCTTTGCCTGAGCTTAAAAAGTAAAAACATATTGGACAAGCCGCAAAGAAAAGACAACCGACCTCCATTTTTTGAAGGAAAAAAACCACATCAGCAAACCAATCTAAAAATCGATAGAAATCGAGGGTATGCACACAAAATCAAAAGTGAGAGAAACATAGTAATTGAGAACTGTTTAAGAAAACAAAAAATCGGAGACGGAGATGTAAGGGATATACCCAATGAGAGGAGTGTAGACATGGTTTGAGATGCTATGATTATCCCTCAGCCACCGTGGAAATTCCAATGGCCGGACAAGAAAGCATCTTACACTGATTTCACAATTTACGCATATATATGGTTGAATTGGGGGCTAACCGACGATGGATAGTTTAACAAGGTTCAGGAGAAATGCCGATAACCGCTCGACAATGTTAAGTACACATCTAGGGCACGTTTGGTTAGAGGGTTTGAAAATAACAGAGTCACATGCCCGAGAAAATAATTGACTCTATATAGTACGTACTTCTTCCGTTCTTATATAAATGCAACGATCAACATTTCATACTTGCTGAAACATAACTTTGACCATTAATATATACTACCTCCGTCCCCATTTAAATGTCTCGGAGGAGGGTGGCACGAGTTTTAAGAAAAGTGAATTTGTGTGGTTGATATTAATTGATAAAGTAAGAATAAGGTAAGAATGATTTTGAGCCACACAAACTTTATCAAATAAAGTATGAGACATTTAAATAGGGACATCCCAATATGGTAAAACGGGACATTTAAAAGGGGACGGAGGGAGTATGATTCTATATTAGTAAAAAATTTTAAAAAAAAGATTATGAAAATTTACAATGAGACAATTTTAACAATATTTTTTCCATAAAAAATATTATTATATTAATAAATAAAACGTAGTCAAAGTAGAACATGTGAATAGTATAAAGGTCAAAGTGTTGCATTTATTTAAGAACGGGGGTAGTATATAGACTCAAACTCATATATTGTACCTCTTATAGGCCTTACTAGTCAAAGTGTTGCATTTATACTGTACCTCTTATAGGCCTTACTAGTTTTTTACGCGTGCATTGCGCGACTGGATAAATGCCCAATACTATATACGTAGTATGGATGTTTTTACTTGGACTGTAATTTGTCCCAGACCAGACCAGTTCAGACCAGACCAGACTTGGATAATTATAAAAATACAAAGAAACCAAACCTTACCAGACCAGACCAGCAAATTACAGTCCAAGTAAAAACATCCTATATGTAACTAGTCACCATACCCGTGCGTTGCACGGGCATATAATAAGTCATAAAATTATTTTCTGAATAAACAATTTGTACAATCTCTTTAGAACAATTTGGGAATATGATGTTACCGTATTGGCCTATTGGGGACAAAATAAATTATAAGTAATCAATAGTACAATTAAACTGTGTAAAAAAAATAGAAACATTAAGAAATGAATAATACAATACGGCCAAACCAAATCATCACAGTAAACACAACAATGTCATATTGAAGCCTCAAGTTACATGTATTTATCAGATAGCGCCGTCCTCACAAATTATTTTTTGGAATTGCATCGCTCCTGAAATATATGTTTAATAGTTAGTACTTAATTATAGCACGATGAGAGTTTTTGTAAAATAAAAATAGCATGACAATTATGTTATAAAATGGAGAAGAAATGAAGTAAAACTTACCAGCTTTTGAAAAACTTCTCTATACACCACATTGGTTGTGGATTTTTCTGTTTGACCGTCATGCTCACATATAAGTATCTTCAATCCATCTCTAGAAGTGACCCTTGACATGACTACATATAATTGACCGTGTGAGAAAACGGGTTGTGGAAGATAAATTCCAACTTGCTTTAGAGATTGACCTTGACTTTTATTAATTGTCATCACAAAAGAAACCATAACTGGAAATTGTCTGCGTTGGAATTTGAAAGGGATCCTACTATCAGATGGCACTAAAGACAGTCGAGGAATAAAAACTTTTTCTCCAATGTTACTTCCCGAAATAACTTTAGCCTCCAAAACATATTTTCCAAGCTTAGTGACGATAAGGCGAGTCCCGTTACATAACCCTGAAGACTGGTCAATGTTCCGCATTAACATAATGGGTACACCAACCTTGAGATTCAACTTATGATTTGGCAATCCAAAAGCATTAATGGTATTCAAAAATTCTGGAGCGTGCACACCATCAAGTGTATCACGATTACCATTACTAGAACATGTACTGTCAAAACTCGGGTATGTTTTCATCTCACCTGACATCAAAGACATCATATAATTATTGATGATGTCAACAACTTCATTTTTAGGTGTCAAAATCGCCCTATCCTGGAAATAAATAACATGGATCATTCATATGCTCTCAAAGTGATGGATAGGTACTCTGGACAATAGATTCAAGTGGATCACCAGAATTGACAATTAACATGTCATCAGGTATGTCAATGAGAGCGTTTCCATCCAGGTCACGTCCAATAGTACCATCTCCAATACTTAGCACCAATTTTGAAAATATTTTCAACTCTTCAACACTATGATTGGAAGAACCTTAATGCAAGCGCATGTTTTTTGTTAAGGTCAAAACTTGACAGTATTGCCAAAGGTATGACGCATTTATTGTAGCATGCACAATTTCTTGTCGTGTGCCCTTAGGTATGACTGGAAGAATTTGTCTGAAATCACCGCCGAAAACTACTACTTTTCCTCCAAAGGCTTGATGTAAGCTATCCATGTTTTGAAACCTCATAAGATCTCTGAGTGATCTATCCACTGCCTCAAAACAATGTCTGTGAGTCATTGGAGCTTCATCCCAAATGATGAGCTTAGCTTTGATAATTAAGGACACATCTAGGGCACGTTTGGTTAGAGGGTTTGAGAATAATGGAGTCACATGCCCGAGAAAATGATTGACTCTATATACTACGTATATAGAGTCAAACTCATATACGTAGTATTGTACCTCTTATAGGCCTTACTAGTTTTTTACGCGTGCATTGCGCGACTGGATAAATGCTCAATACTGTATACGTAGTATATGTAATACATCGATCTTTATAGGATCCTATAAAAGTCAAACTCTTCACAGAAAGAACAAAGTTTGAAATAGTACAAATATATCCGAAAACTCAAACCTCATATATTTAGTGGTTTACCAGACCATGACTAAAAATCATGGACGTTTACCGAGTGATAAAAAACAGAGGCTTGCCCAAATGTAACCATCAAGACTCAAGAGTTATACACCTACTAATCTACTATTCATAAGTAAAGTATTGTGACAAAAATAATCCTATTGATACTAAGAAATGGCTTTAAAATTAACTGATGGATCCCACCTTAAACAACGTTTAGTAGTCCAACCACAAAGAGCTTTGTTAAGCATGTGTGTTACCATGAGCGGCAGGGGCGTAGCCAGGACACTGGGCTAGACTGGGCCGGTACAAAGAATATTATTGGAAAAAAATTTACACGAAATTTTTTACACTAAAAATATTGACATTTTTCAAATTTGGGGTGGGCCAGGGCCTAGCCTGGGCACCCCTAGCTCCGCCCCTGATGAGCGGTCAATATCAGAGAGTACAACTTGGCAAATAGGTATGTCAGCCTAAAGACGGTGTGATTAAGCCACGCCGTTTGGAGTACTCCGTATCATTTAACCATAGGGCATCGTTTGGAACTTTGAATTAAGTTTTAAAAAAACACCAAGCAGGTGGAAGGAAATAACAGATGTTTACGGCTTATAAATAGAGCAGTTGTCGGGAAAAGCTAGGATAAGACCGGCGAGCCATGGAATTTATACCTAATAATACCTTAAAAATTCCGGCGAACGAGGGTGCCAACACCGGCTCACCCCCTAGCTCGCCTAATTTGATGATTCCGAGAGTTGCGTTTTCATTCCTTTGGGCTAGTTTTTTTTTGAAACAATAATACTTTGTAGGGATAAGGGTAAAATTGGACACTACGGTTACATGAGAATCTTATATTGGACACTAAGATTTCAAATGGATCAAGTTGGACACTATGGTTACTTATGTATCTCATATTTGACACTAAAGTTTCATAATTCATTGTTTTTGGACACTCACTTGTGATTCTCTTATTCCTTTAATAAAAATTGTTAGTCTTATTTTTCCTTTCCTTTTTGGTGAAAATAAACTAATTTAATTTATTCATATCATTTTGGAAAATATTTAATTTGAGGTTTTAGATTATATAATTTGATTTTAATTAATAACTTCTTATACTTAACAACTTAAAAATATATATAGGACTTTTCATTCATATGTTTATATGGAACTTTGGGAATTATCGATTTTTAGATTGGTTTAAGAATATTAAAGAATTCAATTACATTATAATACATTTTCTTAATTGGAACATCTGTGGATCATTGCACTTACCGCTACACAAAAAGCAATTGCTGATAGTGTAGCATGCCCTTCCCCTTTTTATAGATCAGAAAAAGCGCCATGCGGTTCGATTGCACCGGCAAGCTGGCAGATTGCTGGCACCGCATACCCGCAGCCCAACAATCTCCCAGCACCTGCCAGCCTACAACTGAGCAGCATGCTATTGCCGGGGGTCGAGCCCGTGACTTTTGGCTCTGATACCAATTGTGGATCGTAGCGCTTACCGCTACACTAAAAGCAATTGCTGATAGTGTAGCACGCCCTTCCCCCTTTATAGAACTGGCAAAGCACCACGCGGTTCGATTGCACCAGCAGTCTGACAGATTGCTGACACCGCATACCCGAATTAAGTTATTCAAAATCTAAGTACATGAATCAAGTTGTTTATTTTTTTGGTACATTAAACAACGGGAAAACGGAATAATTATAGCTTTCAAAGGTGAAAATCTTTGGTGGGTTTCCAAAAATGATTAGAAAAACGTTAAATTTGATTCATTTGAAACTTCAATGTCCCATACGAGATACACGTGTAACCATAATGTCCAATTTGATCCATTTTGAAACATTAGTATCCAATATGAGATTCTCATATAATCATAGTACGTGTTCAATTTGACCCTTATCCCGACTTCGTATAACTTCTTCTACAATCAAACTAAAGACTGATTTTTTTTAAACCACATAGACGATGGAGTATAAACTAAAGAAGACATGTACTACAAACTAAAGAAACAATCAAACAAAAAGCGATTGTTATTCCACTTAAGCTTAACAAAAAACAACAGTACAACACCCATACTAACGGATTTAGAGGGGTGGAGATGTCAATTCACTTAAAACGTACAGGTACCTATGCATAATGAACAACACCCTATTGCTTCTTGATTACACCAACATTTTTCTCATATCTGTTACATCCTTACTCCCATTGGTGTTTATAGTTTTTTAAGATTTAAGATTTGGCAATCGGGTGTTAGTTGTTAGCTGTTAGCTGGATGTCTCAGCTGCTTGATCACAGCTGGTTGTGTTAGCTGTTTTGATTGACTTGCTATGTAG